CCACTACCAAGAAGAAAACTCAAAACTGATTTTAAAACATGCAGATAGAAGCTATTCATTTAATTTATACAAAGAACACATGCCCTCAGGAAGTGAAGCATACTAGATAGTTATAAAAAGATTTTTTCCAATACACTAATAGGTATACTTCTCCTTGATGTGTGTGCCACAGTCATTAACGTCAATTAGCACCACACCTCTAACCCAGGAAAGCATAACTTCAATATTATAACCATACCGGGTGCTTGGATACTGTGTGCGAACCTAACTCAGGCTCTCAAAGCCCTGTCACTTAGGTCACTGTCATCACAGTCCACCCCACAAATCCTGGGGGCTGCCATTAAATGACTCTGAAGGTCCTGCTGGTTTGTGAAATCCTGAACTCCAGAGAAGGCAAGATTGCAACTCCCACGCCATAAGCGTTATGTGGGTACAATGAATATTTATTGGAAATGTGATTAGAAGATGAGCAACCATGTTAGATTATGCTCAGGTCCTAAGGAGTCCAAATGTGCAAGTGAAGAAGGTGAAGTTCTGACACAGGAAGCAACAGGTCCAAAGTCAAAGAAACGGAGAGTTGGGATGATGGCTCGTGTCGGCTGACACTAAATTTCATGGTTGATTTTTCAAAAGAACACCTGATGTGTGGTTTACTTGACAAACATTCCTGGTGGTACTCTGACCACCTAGTAACTCCTCCTCCCATTTGTCTGTTGCTCACATCCAGTGCATGAGAATCACTGTCTGTGTCAGTCTACTCACTAGCAGGAATTTAAAAGCATAAAAGGAAAGAAAAAAATGAAGAAAAGATACATCACAAAGTAAAACTGAGAGCTGGCAGTTCTCTGGGCCTAGGGCCAACTGTCCAATAAAGCAGAAACAAGTCACTATAGCTGCTCAGCACTGGAAATATACTCCAAGTGCAAGATAACAGGATAAACCAGCTCTGAAGACTTGCTGTGAAAGGTAAAACATTTCATTAATAATTCTTACTGGATTATATGAGGAAATAATATTTTGGATGGATAGCATCTTATTTACTTTTCTCATTGCTGAGAAAAAAATGCCCAGCACCCAAAGTTAAGGGAGGAAATATTTATTTACTCAGAGTTTGTGGATGTTTACATCTGCAACTGTCTGGCTCCAAGGTAGGATGGCATGTAGAGGAGAGATAGCTCATGGTGGGCAGAAGGTAGCAAAGCAAGAAGGGACCTGAACAGCATCTTTCTACCCCACCCCCTTTATCTTATCCAGGCTACTAAGGGCATGTTACACTCACACCCTCACAGTCCTAGTGCCCCCGAGCCTAGCATTGCACCATGAATCAATTCCTGCATCACACACTCTAGATTCAGCCACCTTTGCAAAAGCCCCATCTATGACTGCATGAGGCTTTGGGGGGCATCTACACAAGCCATAACATGTAGGTTTGAGTGAAATACATTCTTTTTTTTTTCTTTTTTGTTACCGGGGATCGAACTCGGGTCCTTGGGCTTTCAAGGCAGGCGCCAGAACCACTGAGCTAAATCCCCAGCCCAGTAAAATAAATTCTTAAAATTACTTTCACTTGTTTCATTTTACTTTTACCATAACATGTAGAAAATTTTAAACTACATAGGAGGCCTAGATTTATGGCCTGGACCAATTTCTGTAGGAGAGTGAAGAGCTACACACAGCCACACAGATCACCATTGGTATCCTTGTAAAAAAAATACACCTTGGAGATTACATTCTAGGTGGTATCCTGATCTGGATGAGGAAATACTTACATATCTGTAAAAGATGGAAAGGGGTTGGGGGAGGGGAAGACCCACCAGGAGGGGAATTGGAGTAAAATGAATAAGATTTAATACATACATGTACCAGTTTTCCCAAGATGAATACAATTACTATGTACTACAAACATAAATCATTAAAATTTTAAAAAAGAGACCACCTATGTTTATTCATGATTCATTGCAGCCTATCATTCACTTATCTAATTTATTTCTCTTGAGTGAGAAGAGGCTAATTTATATATATGGAATAATAATACAAATCTCTAGACACTCTGAACCCACAGAAACGAGTTTACATAGTATACACAGGAGATACAAGTACCTACCTCAGGAAATATCAGTAAATAACAGGAGTGTGACCACATCCTATTTTTCAAAAAGTTATTATTTTGATATTGTATATGCTAACATATCCACCATATCAATTACTTTAAGTGTACAGTATATTAGTGTGAAGCACATTAACATTATTCTGAAGTTATTATATTTATTCTGATCAAATGATGACAGGAAAAATATTAGAGAAAATTGTTTAAGAATACCTTTTTAACAAATGGTACTGGGAAAACTGGCTTTCCATATGCCAAAGATTGAATTTAGGACTATATCTTTCACTATGTACCAAATTAAAATAAAAATTGATCAAAGATGATTAGAACAGAAACAATCTACTGGGAGACAAAACAGGTAAAATTATTGAAGATACAGGTATGGGCAAAGACTTTCTGAACAGCACCGCAGATGCATAAGAAATAATACCAAGAATCAACAATGGGGTTACACCAAATTAAAAAGCTTCAACACCAAATTAAAAAAGCTTCAACAGACTGAAGATACAACAAACAGAAGGGGAAAAATTTTGCCAGCTACTCCTTCAAGGAAGAATATCTAGAATATATTTTTTTAAAAAAACTCAAAAAATTACTCTCTCCAAATTGTAAGACCCAACACAAAAATGGGCATCTGAAATGAACGGTCTACAGCCATACCATCCTGAACATGCCCAATCTCCTCCAAATGAACAGTCACTTCCCAGAGGAAGAAATACAAACATCACAGAATGGGAGAAAGTTTTAAGAACAGAAAAAGTAATAAACAGCAAACTCCAAACAATAGCATCTCTGTTTAAAATTACACCTAATAGGGCTGGAGATTTAGGTGGTTCCACTGCCTGCCTTGCAAGTGCAAGGACCTGAGTTCGATGCCCCATCAAAAAAAAAAAAAAAAAAAAAAAAAAAAAAAATTATACCTAATAAATAGCCTCTGGTTGGGAGGAGAAAAAAATTAGCCAAGTGCCTTTCTAGAGCATCAGGGAGGATCAGTCATTACATCACACCCATATCAACTGACACAAACTTTTAGATCAGTAAACATTTTCCCTCTACCGCAACAGAGGGTTAGTGTTCCAGATGGGAGAAATAAATCAGAGCACACATAAAAGTATCAAAACATAGGCCAGGCTGAAGGGTGAGTTTTACTTCCCCTACTGAATTCAGTTTGCTCTACCAATCCGTCTTGCTTTGACTAACAAATGCATGTGAAAAATTGTAAATATACTTTTAAAAGCTTTTCCAAAAGCTTCTCTGCTACGTGCAATAAGCAGCAGCATCTGATGACCAAGAAGCTGAACTTCAGTATAAGTCTAACAACTTAGAAAAGTCCCTTCTTCCTCTGACACCCAGGCTTCAGATCTAACGTTAGACTCTGGGGAGTTCTCCAAAAGATTTTGTTACTGCTCAGTGCAGACACAATGACAACTGGATGAACTTGAGTACCCACAGCTGCACAGCATGAAGATGTACGAAGAGTTTGCATGCATCTGTTTACCTTAACCTGATCAAACTTTGGTGAAAGAAAAGTTACAGTCAGTGGCTCCCTCCCACCTGGCAGTGATGAAAGTGAAAACGTTACGTGATCTGCTTAAGCATGGACTCTGCAATACATTGTTTAATATCTGTGTAACATGGAGCAACTTTCTTAAACCTGCTCTGTCTCAGGAACTTCATCAAATTGCCACTAATATTCAGAAATGTACAGCCTTTAAGAAGCACATATTTATATAAAATCTATTGTTAAATTATAGTAAGCTGTTTTCCTTCTCCTAGAATAGTGGTGGTGAAACTATGGCACGCATGTTGTTTTTCTATTAAGACAAAAGATGTTAATGTATGAGTTGTTTTTCTAAGCTAAAACCTCAGTACTCAGGTGTAATTGCAGTGTTGGCACTTTCTGATTACTAAGTGAATTTGGGGCTGCAGTTCGGGCACTCATCTCTGAAAGGTTCACCATCACTGCCCTAGGGAAACTGAAAAGAAAAATCTGATTTATTCTACCAAAATCCACAAAACAGAGTAGGGGAGAGGAAAGGGAGGGAATGAGATGGGGTGAGATGGGGGAGCACTGAAGAGCAGGGGCTGCCACACCTGCTACTGGGGTGTGGTGGATGCAGGAACCCAAACACAAAAAGTGGGTAGAACTTAATACACACATTCGTGCAAATGAGTATGAGCAAATCTGAACAAGATCTGTGGGCTTCATCAAGCTCAACACACCACTTGCCAGATTATACTGTAGTCTGCAAATGTTACCTTGGAGTAAAGGGAGTAAAGGATAGATGGCTTGTTTCCACGTTATATGTTACAAGAACATCCACTTAAGACAATGAAATCAATTTTAAAAACTCAAAAATTCACAGCACCACCAACCAAGATAGTAATATTATGCAGTAAGAAATATCAGGGTACACAATGCAGACAGTCTTTATTATAGTCATGTGAAGACTTCACTGTAAGAGAAATGAGGTCTTACTCATGATACTAACAGTTTAAAAATTCTTATTCCAAGCCAAGAATGATATTTTTTATCTTTTGGAAGTGTAAATGCCTTAAAACTGACAGCCAGCTCACCCTAGACAGACAAATGATAAAGCACAGGTGGAAGGTGAAAAAGAAAAGAGAAAGAAAGAAAGAAACTAGAACTCTTTGAATGACACTTTAAGAATTCCATCTCAAATATCAACTGACATAATAATAAATACAAGCCAGTTACTTGGCAAGATAAAGAATCGTGGCAATAATTATGTGATAAAACAAGAAGTATATACTAATAATCCTAACCATCATGCACAGAAAATACTTTATCTTGGTATTCTAGTACAAGAGTCTATGAGGAGAAAAATAATTATATCCAATAATGGAAAACTGTCACTGATATTGTACTGACCTGCTTGTAAGTTCCATCCAGCAAGGTGTCCAGATGTTGGAGGGGTGCAGGTGTTTTATCTTTGAATCTTGTTAGTAGTCGGCGTTGGATGGCTCTGAACTGTACAGCTCTTTCAGATAATAGTTCTTCTAATTTTTCACCATTTATCCGCAGCTACAACAAAGAATGTCTTAAAATGAGGTTAAATAGTTATAAGAAAATATATTCAAAGTAAGAATATAGGGCCTATATTATACACAATGTCAATAAAATTTTGAAAAATTTAAACATTGTACATAGGAGTTAAAATAATGTGGTATTTGGCACATCCATACATAAATAATACAGTGGAATACGTCAAATGGAAATTTAGTAAAGGTGACCCAATTTGTTTAGGAGAAAGACTGGTCATTTGATAAATGTTTTGCAATAAGTGACCACATGGATCAAAAATAGGAATTGCTCCCCCTTCTTCACAATAAAATCAGCTGCAGGGCTGAGGATTTAGCTCAGTGGCACCTTGCCTGACTTGCAAACCCAAGATCCTGCATTCAATCCCTGGTACTGGAAAAAACAAATCAACTGCAGAGGTAACAACAAAAGTTTAGACATAATATGGCACTAAAAAATTATAATTCTCTTTTACAATCTTGGTATGAGAACTTTCATTAGTATAAGTCAAAAGACAAAGGACACATGTACACACACATACACACATATCCCCTTGATAGATTACTAACTAAACATTTTTAATTCTACATAGTTTCAAAAAATATAAACAAAGGAGTAAGACAAACAGAAAAGTGTAAAAAGGATGACAAATTATATCCATAACATCTAGAGAGCATCTACAAATCAGTGTTAAAAAGACCATAACACAACAAAATCCACAAGAAAAAGAGTAATACTCATATAGAAAAATGAACAAAATTTTACATAAATTTAGTACCATAATTCTTAAATATACAGCCTATGATCTAGGAATCTGGCTTCTGGGAATTTATCCTAGAGATATGCTTGCAAAAAGTAATGCATATAATTGTTCTATTTTTATTATACTAGGACATCATTAATAAAAATGCCCACCTAAAGAACTGGCTAAAGCGGACTATTTTTCAAAGTGGGTGCTAAAAGGCTCAAAGATGCATTAAATAAAACAAAGCAAATAGATACTGAAGAGCTTGTATCAAGTGATACTATGTATGTTTTTTAATAAACCTGTATATTAGCACAGTAGTAACTTCATAGAAATTGTCTAAAAAGATACATGAGATACAGAACATTAAAAGTGGTCTCAGGAGAGGTGACTTAGCAGGGAATGAGAATCAGAAAACATTCTTCACTGTAGCTCACTTCATTAAAATTTAATATTAATAAAACAAAAGGGATGGGGTACAGCTCCCTAGTATGGTACTTGCCTAGCATGCATGAGACCAGTTCCATCTCCAGCACCACCAATAAATTATTTAATTAATTTTTTAAAAAAGAAAATAGTGGAGTCATAGAGAAGGAACATTCATGAGATAAGATCACCTGAACTACTAATTCAAGTTTATAAAACTAATCAACTAGTTCAGAAAAATATATTAAACCGTTCAGAAATTAAACATAGTTTAAAATTCTGTTATCAAACAAAATTGTTATCTTGTCAATGCATGTATTCTCCAGATACATGATGAGTATTATGTACGATATAAAATTTGGAATTTTAACAACTTTCAATTCCAATTTTAGAAGCACTAAGAATATTCTCTCAAGGTAAAAAACTTTTATTACAAAAAAATTAAGCAACAAAATGAATTTTTAATGACTAAATTTTCAAAAGCATAGCCTATCAATATGTCACTCATCTGCTTGAATGCTGCTATATACTATTTTATTTCCTGGATTCATGAAATATACAAAAAAATTGAAAAGACAATCTCAATACTCAGACGTCATCCAGGTTGGTTACCATTCCACTGAAGGTGTTATCAGGTGGCAATGACAGAAATGTCTTCCCAGGTCACAATTTCAATGACTCATTTTCAATCCCATAGCTAAAAACTGTTTCAGGTATTAAGAATTAGAGAAATGAGTAAAACATAAAGCTTTGTGTCTCGCTTCCACAAAGGGACAGTTGTACTCCAAAAAACTTTGTGACTCAAAGTTTAAAATCATAATCCATTGTTGGTGGGAGTGCAGACTGGTGCAACCACTATGGAAATCAATATGGAGATACCTCAAAGAACTAGGATTAGAGGTTCCATTTGACCCAGACATCCCTCTATCGGGTATCTTTCCAAAAGAATTAAAAGAATCATACCACAGTGATGTATGTGCACCCATGTATATAGCGGCACAGTTTGTAATAGCTAAAATTTGGAAACAGCCCACCTGCCCATCAGTTGGAAAATGGATAAAGAAAATGTTTTTCTATAAAATGGAATACTACTCAGCCATAAAGAATGAGAAAGTAGATTCATTCATTCATAGGTAAATGGGTACATTTTGAGGATATACTCCTAAGTGAAATAAATAAATTGTGTAAATAATGAATAGTTTCTCTGGTGTGAAAAACTAAAATAGTACTCAAGATCCTAACGGGTTAATTAGCAATGTGAAACAGGAAGAAAAGGACTAAAGATGCAGGGACAGTGAGAAAGGTAGGGGAAGGGTAGGGAAAGGGGAAAAAAAATATGAGAAAATGTAAAAATGGAATCAAAGTCTTTGTAGGTGGGGAGGGGAAGAGGGGGTGAAGGGAGGGTGGGGACAAGGGGAAAAATGAGAACCAAGACCTGTCATGTAAAGGTACAAGATCCCAGCAATGACTGTAACTGTACTGTATACCTAGAATGTACCAATAAATTCAATTAAAAAAATCATAATAATGGACCTGCCCTGTAGTTCACACTCCTTCCCAGATGCAGGGCCAAATTCTCACAACTCCCAGCAGGGCTGGGGACCTAAGACAGGAATTGCCACAGCCAGCCTGTGAGAGGAAGCAGAGGCCTGGAAGAAACTAGCAGGGCCAAATGGAAATCACCACAGAAGGAGGAAGTATAGCAGTTTATGATCTTTAAAGAATCTAGTAAACTATTCGGTATGTGTCCTATTTATTTCACTTAAAGAGTATCGCCTCAATGTGCATCTATTTAGCTATAAATGTCTCTAGTTTCTCATTCTTTATGGCTGAGTTGTACCCCATTTTATTTTTTTAAAAAAAATCTTCTTTATCCAGTCTGTAGTTGATGGGAAATTGGGCTGTTTCCAAGTCTTAGCTATAACAAACTGCTGCTATGAACATGGGTGAGCGTATATCACTGTGGTATGATTCTTTTAATTCTTTTGGGAAGATACCCAGCAGGGGACTAGCTGGGCCAATTGGGACATTTAATTCTAGTTGTTTGAGGTATCTCCATATTGATTTCCACAGTGGTTGCCCAGTCTGCACTCCCACCAACACTGAAGAAGGGTTCCTTTCTTCCTACAACCATGCCAGCATTTGTTATTGGTTGAGTTCTTAATAGCAGCCATTCTTTCTGGGGTGAGGTGGAACCTCAGTGTTGTTTTCATCTGCATCTCTCAAATGACCAGTGATGTTGAACATTTTTTCATATATTTATTTGCTGTTTTTGCTTTTTTGTCTGAGAAATGTCTGTTCATTTCAGATGCCCATTTTTGAGTTGGGTCTTTATATTTGGGGGGTCAGATTTTTTTCAGTACCTTATATATTCTAGATAGTAGACCTTTGTAGGAGGAATAGCTGGTACAATTTTTCTCCCACCTTGTAGGTTGTCTCTTAGCTCTGCTGGGGGTTTCTCTTGAAGTACAGAAGTTTTTTAAAAAGATGAGATCCCAACCATTAATTCTTTGCGCTAGTTCCCATGCTGAGGATTTCTCCGGTGTGAAGTGTAAACAAGGATGTATAATTGATACTGTGTAACAGGAAGAAAAGTTCTTAAGGTGTAGGGGAAGTGGGAGGGGTAGGTGAAAGGTAAGAAGGGAAAGAATATGAGAAAAGGAACAAATGGAGACAAAGTCTTTGTAAATAGGGAAGGGTAAAGGGGGTGGAAGGCAGGCAGAGGAATGGGGAAAATATAAGAACCAAGATACATCATGTAAAGGTACAACATCCCAATGACAAATGTAACTGTAATGTATACCCAAAATGTACCAAAAATTTTAATTTAAAAAAGTTGAAAAAAAAATGTAGTATAAATAAGTAGCAAATTATCTTCTCAAAAAGACTGTAAGTTAGATGTTGCAGCAATTAATATTTTCCAAAATCCTGAACTTTATATTTGAGAGAGTATAAAAGGATCATTGAACAGAGAGATGTCAGAACAACAGATACAAAACATCCTCATACTGAAAATAAAATGGGAATGAATGGTATACAACCGTTCTGTGATAAGCTGGCACTCCATCCAGCCAGCATTGTGCTGTGATTACGGCATGAAGTTCAGTGCATCAGCACAGTGTGAGTCCTCCAAACAGGAGCTTGTGAATAGTGCGACAGAATTAGGATGAGCCAGCAGAGAAAAGCTAATGGCTCAAATACCAAAGAGGGAACCAGAATTGAAAGAACTGGGATGATTTAAGGATTTTTACCAGTTTGATTTTGCAAAGAATCCACAACAGAAAGGATTGCGTCTAGAAATGGCCATTGCCTCCCAGAACTTAGTACCCACTGGAAGATAATTAAATTTTGTTGCAACATCATAAATGATCAATACCAAAAGATATTTAAAATCTTCTCTTCAGTGCAATGATTGAAGATGGTGTGTCTATGATAAGGAAGGAATGTGGGCTATTCTTACTGATGACTTTGCAGAAACACTATCTTCATCAAAAAACACTGGCATAAGAATTAAACATAATGAACATCACAAGCAATTTATAAAAACTTCTTAAATATATGGTTTTGGCTACTTGCAAAGAGTGGGCTAAAAGCATTTCCAATGTTAGTGATATATTTAAGTGTTCTGGATCTGGAATGGTGTTTTAGTTTAGGGGGATTGTTTTATTCTCTGGAAAATCCCATGTATTGTTGATGTGAATAGAGTATTCAATGAAAGAAATGTCAAACAACCAATACAAAAACTTTTTAGACTTACCTGGTCCCTAACTGAAAAATGTATTGTGTTTTAGACTCTCAGTTTCAAATAGGTTCTACAAATGTAGTGTGCACTTACTTTACCTATGCTTATATATAGTAAGTCTACAGGGAGCTTGTATTTAGAAAGTGCCTATAAAGTTATATTTTACTCTTGTCTATATTATGCACAACATAAGTGGATTTCAGTATGTTTTTGAAACATTTACATTCCTATCAAATAAGTTAAACAACTTAATTTTTCCTGAATGTTTTGAATTGCTGTACAATATTCTAAATTTCTAAATTGCATTCTAAATAAAATATTCTACATTTCTACAATGTGTATTAATGGCTGAAAGCAGACAGTGAGTACACAGGAAATAAAGAATAATCACACTCATTTTAATTTGTGTGTGTAACCAGTGAAAGTACCTGTAGTCTACCAAATTCCCCAAGCTCTTCCTCAGAAAGGAAGCACTCTGATGTGGAAAATCATAGATTTCCTATACAGCAAATAAAAAAGGAAAGCTATGCCAAACTTACTAGTCCCTAGTATATAGTATTCTCTATTTTAAATATTACAAATATGTAATCATTATAGTCTTTCTCTGAACATTCTTTCATAAATCACTGGACCCAGTTTGGAAAATGAAGCCACAGTTTCTTAAAATACATCCTAGAGCAGTGATGGTGAACCTTTTAGAGCTTTCAATGATAATAAACAGTTGGCTGTGGCCTGCATGCCACAGGTTCACCATCACTAGAGCAATGCAAAAGTTCTCAATCCTTAAAATATCTATATATTCTCCCCAATACTGTCAGTTTTAGTGCCATAGTTTGGCCAAATATATACTGTCCTGGAAAATATTATCATCAGAAATGAAAGAAAAACCAAACATTCAATTTATTTGATAATGCTATAACTAACTGTTCAAAACTGGATTGCATACACCTGAAATTTTTCCTTTATTTTCATACTGCATTAAAAAAAGATGTAATAGGCAAAATTTAATACTCAGACTATTCAAGGGGCACTTGACAAGTTGCATGACCATTTCATACCTACACACACATTGAAAGGTCTCTGGTGTTCTTTAAAAGTAGTCACTCTAGAAGCCAGTGCTTACTTTATGTTTAAAATTCTTTCAAAATTTCCCTTTTGTATTGCCTGTTTACAAGTTCTGTAAGCAAGTGAAGCCTGGTAACTTTACTTTAATAAACAAAACTTTTAAATGATTACCATTAAGGGACCAAAAATATACACAGGAGGAAAGATACCCTTTTCAATAAACAGTGTTGGAAAAACTAGCTATCTACATGCGGAAGATTGACTCTAAACCCATACCTCTCATCTAAAATCAAAATGGATCAATGAACTAAATGTTAAAAATAATCTACTGGAAGATAAAGTAAAACTACTGAAGATACAGGCATAGGCAAGGACTTTCTGAACAGAATCCCAATTGCACAAGAAAGAACATCAAGAATCAACAAATGGGATCATATCAAATTAAAAGGTTTCCATACACCAAATCAAACAACTGATAGAGTGATGAAATAACCTACTGAATAGGAAAAAATGTCAGCCAGCTAGTCCACAGACAGAGGACTAATATCTACAATGTGTAAAGAGTTCAAAAAAAATAAAACTTCCCTAAAAGAAAAACACCCAATCAAAAAATGGTCAAACTGAAATGAACAGACATTTAGCAGAAGACGTACTAATAGCCAAATGCATGGAAAAAATATTCAACATTTTTGGCCATTAGGGAAATACAAATTAAAATCACATTGAGATTCCATCTTATTCCAGAAAGAATGGCTATCATCAAGAAATCAAAATAACACATGTCCATGAAGCTGTAGGGATAAAGCAACCCTTCTGCACTGTTGGTAGGAATGTAAATGATACAACTACTACAGAGATCAGTATAGAGTTTCCTAAAAGACTAAAACTAGAAACTCCATTTGACCCAGTTATTCTCTGTCTAAGTATTTTCCCAAAAGAGTTAAAGCACATTATACTGATCCATGCATTCCCATGTTTATGGCAGCAAACAGCTGAATCTTGAAAGTGGCCTGTATATCTATCAATAGACAAATTAATAAAGAAAACATGGTACTTATAAGAGCAAAATAAAAGATAGATAATGGGAAATAGATCTTTTGCAAATGGGAGTTAGATGAAGAGATGGAGCGAGGGGAAGGAAAATGGTGGAAAGAAGAACTGAGATGCTTGATGTGCATGTACCAACTCCTGAGAACACATGTGATCACCGTGTACTGCCAACATGCACTAATAAAAATAAAATCGAAACAGAAAATCATAAAGTGATTATCATTGTTCAGTCACTCACAAAACACAACTCTTTCCAAATATCAAGTTAATCTTCAAAGAATGAAGACTTTCTCATCACTGAGGCAGTCAGGACCATCTAACACAGGCTCCCTGGGCACTTTCACACAAGAAGTGTAGAAATATCCAGAGCGACAAAGTCACATCAGATCTCATCTTTTTACAGGCACTTAATCATTTAACATTTACTAAGCATCCAGAGGCAGGTAGTGGAGAATACTTCACTTGGACTAGCCTTCACTGAGATGAATAGAAGCTCTGGTGCACTTTTCTTTAAAAAAAAAAAGTCACTTTATTTATAATCATGCTCCATTATGGCCCACTAGAATTAGCCAAATGGCTGTTTTAACACTGTATTACTTCGGTCAAGGATTAAATCCTCATGTGGGATAATTAAATCAGCTCTGTTTCAAGGCCAAATCACATGCTCACCTCCAGGAAGTCTCTCTGCAAATGTCTGCAACTGATCACAAACTGGTCAAAAGGGCAGGAATTAAGTCCCCCACATAAGAATAACACCTGAAAGCACACAACCTACTAGCATCTATACTAGAATTCCCACTGTTACAGCACCTATCTCTCTTTTGTATATTTAAGAATTTGATGATGTGAATTATAATCATACATACCTCAAAATGGTGATCAATCAACTCAAAATATTCCTGAAGGGGCACAGATCCAGAAAAAGAACACGCAAAATCTTTGATACCCTGGTTTTCAAAATATTCCTGAAGGCGGAGAATAAGCTCATTTGTTATGAGCCAAAGATCTTCAAATTGTTCACTCTGAATGCGGTATCGTTCTAAGAACAAATGATTAAGGAAAAAGTTTAGTAATATATTGGAACTAGCTAAAAACTATGTCAACTAGTAGTAAGTTTGAAATGAATTCTAAAATTAAAAGGCCAAAGGTATCTTTTTCATAATACAGACAAGATTTCCACTACCTTCATAAAAATACTTGTACTGCTCTTTTTTCTATATCAAACCCAAGACACTTTCAAATCTAATCCCAAAGGCAGGTGGTCACTCCATTTTACCCTGTGTCTAATAATACATACAGTGAGAACATCCAACTTTTGGTTCTTGAAAAGACACTGAACAGGTAAAACAATAACCATTACAAAAGTATAATCTATTGTTATTAGATTGTTACTGTGAAATAAAATCTATTCTATAGAAAGTCCCATATTTCAGGGATGTAACCGGCACAAATCCCCACAATCATAATGGAAGTTTTCTCATCATTCTTTGATTTGAAGAGAGATTTCATAGTCATATGCTTCCCTAAACATAAACCCTCCCCTCCATTCCCTGAAACCTCTGCTCAGAGAGAACATGATTTCTGTGTATTTTCTACAGCAACGCCAGTAACAATGATGCTGGCAGCAATGAGGACAATGTGGCAGTGACAACATCCATGACAAGAGCAATTACATGATTTAGGCACCAACCAAGTGCCTAGGGTTAGCCCAAACTAGGTATCCAGCAGAGACATAACTTATCTATCATCATCCCAGAACTCCTACATGAAATGAAAAACTCAAGCCTCTCAGATATCCAACCTGAAACTTCTCCTTAGAGGCCTCTCTTATTCTCCAGTAAGAGTTGAGCTTCAGGTTTGGGCTTTTCTGTCTGCACTACAATGACTGCCCCCTCTTCTCTGGATATGTCTTGATAAGATTTACTTGGCCGGAAACAGCCTACATGCTGGGTTCCCTCATCCCCAGTATGCCTGATATCCAGACCTCTACTCTTACTTTCAGAGAGCCAGCATCTAACAAAGAATCCTCTAGATTCTGTAAAAAAAACAAACAAACAAACAAACAAAACATTTGTCAGGTCAAATGTTAAGGGAGAGTCTCCCAAGCTATTTGACTACTTCAACCCAATGAAAGCCAGCCTACTTCTATTCTAACACCTCCTCTGGTGCTCAGCAAATGGGGAATCTAATTTTCAAACTTGCTCAAACCACTTCCTTCAGACTCCAAAAAGAGAAAAAACGACTTCTCTAAACAAAAGCCATTTGGCACTACTGTCCCTCTTTACAGGAGGTTGGCTAAAGGATATCTTTATGAGGGCTAGATTTCTTCCCTCCTGGGGGCTAAGATTTATTCTATCCAAATCCATCTATTCACGAGGATCAGGCCCTGGACACACCCTCCTGGAAACATGCATCAACCCAGTATGATTAATTCACCCATTCTGAGGAGTGGAGATCTACTCTCCTGCTGTCACAGGCAGAGAGAAATAAAAGATAAAGAGTGGCACCCTTGTCTCTTACCCTCTGTCAGAGGAGTGGTTTACTATAGTAGCTCTAGTCCAATATTAATTAAGATAAATATCAGTCTAGTCCTTTTTTAAACAACCCTTGCTGTCACAGTATAAAAAGGTCTCTCTCCTCTTCTCTCTTCCCTCCCTTCCCCCCCCTCTATTCTTATTGGTATAGGCTTATAAAAGATCTCTGTGCTAACTGGTCACCCCTAGACTAGTCTATTTATAGTTATATACCTGTAACTATAACAGATTACTATTGCTTAGCTTGGCCAATACATCAAAGAGTTCACTCTGATTTAAAAGTAATTGTTTTGTGTGTTCTGTGTTTTCTGTTTGTCCATTTAAACTGATTTAAATACCTACAACTGCTTTATCAAATCTTTCTGAGATCCTATCGATTGTTTTCTCTTTTTTTTCCTTTGTAAACTTAAGGGTTTTGTGGGCCCCTCTCCCCTCCCCCCCAAAAAAACCCCACTATTCTAGGTTTTGGGGGTGAGCCAAATTCTTTTAAAGCTATTACAGGATGATGGCTAATGGGCTTGAAGTTCACTTGGGACTTACAAATAAAAGCCTTAAACTTTGATAACACAAAGGTTATATATGATTTAGATTAATATATATTTTTCTGTGTGTCAACTTTCAGGTATATATTATCCGCCAAAGGTTTTATTTAGATTGGTCTATAAATAAATATTCACAATGTTAACCCAAATGATTGTTTTTGGCTAATGTCATATAGCTTAACAGTGCATGAATTTCAATCAATTGCTAAAAAGAAAGATGTCTTTAAAGTTGGTGATATGTTTCCATCCAGATTGGAAGTAATGTCTACTGTTTTTATAAATGCAATGTCTATTGTGGTAGTATACAGTAATTTAAGAGTTTTTTCTTGGTCAAAGATAATATATATATAACTTTAAAGGGTGTTAACTGTTATAATTTTCTCATAAGTTATCTAAAATAATTGTTAAATAAGTAGGAACTCCTTAGTCTTGGAAAATCTACTGAACAAGCCTCTACTCTGTGAATAAAAGGGCAGGTCCCTGAACCAATTTGTTTAGTTTTTATCCACTAATGTGACTTCTCCATTTTTTCAGAATCATATGGTGACAAACTCCAATGAATGTTATTAAATATATTATTATAATATATTGGTTAAAAGGCTAAGCTTTCTATATCTAAAATAATACAGTTTTCTTAAGATATTGAGATGCCTTTGGAAACATTTTAAAAACTAGATTAAAGAACAAAGGCTCTACCTTTTACTAAGATAACTCCTTTTGTTTTCCATTATTAAGCTTTCGGTTAAGCTGAATTTTGAAAGTTAAATTAAATGTTGGCTTATAAAATATTTTTAATAATCACCTTATGATTGGTTAAACAATTATCTTAGTTTATACCATAGCCTATATATCTGAAAACAAGTATGCTGTAAGTCTAAGATTTAAAGTTAAGCTTATAGAGATAAAACTGCATAAATTTAATACATACAAAGTAACTAATGGGTGTGATCTCTTTTATACAATATACACAAAGACATTAGACACAAAAAATGCTCAAAATTTGGCTCTAAGTTGGTCCTACCATTTTAAACATTTACATCTACTAGCTTTGATTAAACAGTTACTATATAAACGAAACACACGAGTACTGGGTAATAAGTCTATTTGTGCTCTGCAGTATGGTTTCCTAAATCTGTAAGACTTCTAAAGGTGTTCCCTAATTCTTGTCAGTGAAGTTACACCCTGTAAACCTGTTTGGAAAAAGTTAAACTCTTCCTTAAGTGGAAAAACTAAGTAAATATATACAAAGATTTTGATATAACAGTGATTTCAATTATTACTAACTTCACAATGTATTAAATATATGTTTCCTAATTGTACAGACCTTCAATGATAAAAAGCAGAAAAATATCTTATTATACTGATGACTTCCAAATTTAAATTATTTGTGGTGTTAAAACTTATTACTGTTGTATGATTGTGTTGTAATAGTACGTGATTTATAGACGCTAAGGTTTTCTGTATGTTTACCTGAGTATCACAGAGGGTATAATACATTTACATTACTCTAGGATTTGTTTTTAAAAAGTTTTCTTCTGATTCTTCTGGTAGAAATAGCTCAGTTTAGCACAAAGACACATGAAAAGCCAGATTTGCAAGTTTTGGAGGAGGTCAAAAATGTAGCATCATATTATTCATTACCCATATGCATGGATAATGAAGACGATCTATTATAGTAAGATCCATGTTTTCATAATAGAAGAGTGGTGTGGGTAGATGACATGATGATGATGATGACGATGATGATGATGATGATGATGATGATGATGGAGATGAAGATGACAATGATGATGATAATGACGACAACAATGACTCTGACATTGGCATGTGAGGAAAAGTTCCTGTGATGGTGAAATGGAGCGAGAATCGACTGATACAGACCGAGGGAATGCAGACCTCTTGGATTCAGATGACAAAGAAAACAGCAATGCAAGTGCATATTTGACTAGATGAAATGTTGCAAAAAGGTCATGCAACCAAACAGAATCTGAAAATATAGTGAGTATCTTGTCAGGGCAGAAACCCATTGGTAGTTGGAAATTGTAATAGATGAAATTCTACAAGATGTGTGAAATACACAAAGGCTGAAATACAAGTAAAACATTGCATATGCATCAGTAGTCATATTCAAAATATTGTTCTATGACACCTCACTAGCTGAACTGAAAGCATTCATAGGTTTGTCGTACTTAGCAGGGATTTCTCATGGTAATCACAGGAAGGTAAAAGACAAAGGACAAGGGATAAGTCAAAATATGGCATAAAAATTTAGGCCCTTGTAGATGTGAAGACTTACTATGCTTTCCATTGAGAAATTTATCCTGGAACTCAGCCATCAGGTCTTTATTTACATAGTAATAAACTGATTTGAAAAGATCTGTTGCTCCCATCTCCCAAAATAACTGGAATGGCATTCAGCAACAGGTTTACTAATGTCCAGTCAACATTACATTTGCTAACAGAGCACAACCAACACAAGAACTGTATGCAGGAACAAAACAGAAATTCCAAATGAAATGTTGTAATTTCAAAAGACAATTATATAGTACAAACTTTACATTTCAGAAAGATTTACAATTGCCTCATACACAGCAAAGAAAAACAAACTGGTGCTGCCTTTGTCAACATTGCACCATGAAGAAAATATTGATAGGGAAACCTTGACAAAACAGAAGCATAAGACTAAAACTTGCTACAACAAAATCAAAGGCAGAGTGGATGTTGTTGATGAGTTGGGCAGCAACTATAATGTCACTGAAACAAAAAGCATGGGCCAATGGTTATGTTTTACTCAATTCTAAAAATGTGTGGCATAAACAGTTTCATAGTTTACAAAGAAAATAACAAGTATAAAGTGCCACAGAGAAATTTTCTTTGAGGATTGAGACTAGAAGTCATGAGAGATCATTTACAACAGAAGAAAAACAAAATGTTTCTGCCTGCAGAACCACACACAAAAATAA